ACAAATGCAACTAATTTGTTTAATTTTATTTTTTGATGTTTCAGGCATTTTTGGTTTATGGGATTCCACGTAGTAACATGAAAAGAATATTCCTTCTCCTCAAGGTGATGACTCTTTGATGTTATTCGAAAAAATGATGTCTAATTTTGTTGTTCCTAACATCAAAGCTTCTGCACTATTCATTTCAGGCTGCACATAATGTGGGAGGTCATACCATAAGCGTAGACAAGATACAGAATTAAATCTTAGGATGCAGGTTGCCTCATCCAGGACAAGTACATTTCGTTTCCTGTTATTATTATTTTTTTACAGTTACAAATGAAAACATTTTCATGGGGCCTAATGAAGCTTGCTTTTGATTGTAGTGGCTCCAATCATTGTTTTTCCCAAAGAAAAAATTCAAGGCTGGAGATGCACAGAAAGCATATGCGATTGAGCACCCCGAACCTTGCTTATATTTTGCGCTTTGTTCAGGCAGCCACTCTGATCCTGTGGTACACTCATGTCCCTAATTTATATGCAATATTTGTCTCTCTTCTTTATCTCTGGGTGCGAAAACTGCACTTTTGGTGCAAAGTATTTCACTGTTTGGTCGTGTTTTTAGAAATATGAACATGAACAATTCGAATGCAGCATGAGTGTTTGCACAATCGGCAAGTTTAGAACAGTCTACAAATGATTTTGTTCTAGAGAGAAAAAAGACAGCAAAAACAATGATTGTATTTCTTCAAAGTTCATTCAAACTTGATACATTGGTTGCAATAGTTAAAGAAGCAGAGCCAAATTATCTCTCATCCAGCCTTGAAGCTGAAACATGAACCAACATAAACATTAGAAGAGCGTGTCAAGGGCACATTACAGTTTTTCGATACATAGTTACCCAAATTCTTTTCATTTTGTTATTATGAATTATGATTCTTCAGGTTCGTGTGTACACACCCAAGAGGGTGTTCCAGGAGCTGGAAGCTGCAAAAGAAGATTACATCCATACCACCTTTGCCATACAAAGAGAAAAGAAGATCCTTCTACCAAAGCTTGTCGACTCTTTTGCAAAAGACTCAGGTTTATGCCCAGCTGGTTTCGTGGAGATGGTTGAGCATTCAATGCCCGGTTATATAGAGAAGAGTGTTCAGCAAGGTAAATTATGGAAGAGAATTGAGTGGATTCCTCACAACTTCACGTTTCGCTATCTGCTCTCCGAAGAATTGACCAAGTGAAACAACTTGAAAGCATGTTTTCATAAGAATTGTTAATGTAAAATGTAAATTGTAAAATGTAAACATACCACCCACTCCACCTACCACCTCCACTACCACCCACTCCACCTACCACCTCCACTTCACCCCCTACCACCTACACCTACTACCACCCACTCTTCTATATATAGGAATTGTAAACATTGTAAATATACAACAATACAATCAATAATAACACATCAGCATTTTACATGGTATCAGAGAAGGTTTAGAACCTAATAGTTTCGCTTTCCCGGCGGGCGGCAATCTCGCCTTGGCCGCCCGCCGGACCTATTCCGCTGATAAAATCAACAAAGATGTGTGCAACTGTAGTCATAAACCTGCAATTCCTTTTTGTCATAAATCTCCAAAGAAAAGTCCCTCAGCATCTGAGCTTTGTTGTTGCTCCCAGAGCTCACGCTCGCCGGAGCCATACTCGACTTCTTCGTCCCAAACGTCGCTCCCGACACCGCCGGCGACAGGGGCCTAATTTCCACCCCACCACCCACCGGCTGCGACGCCGACACAAACGACGAGATTGACCTCGCTGCCACATCAAAAACCAGCGTCACCAACGGCGACATCGCCCATCATTGCGGCTGATTCACTCCGGCCTCCCCAGCGTCTGCCTCTCCACCTCCGGCCCCGGCGCCACCCCCCTAGTCCGCGGTCTCGCCGACGCCATGCTCGCCCGCGTCCATGTTGTGGCCCGTTACTTTTCCAGCATTTTCATGCTCGATGCACCAACTGTTGCTGCCTCTGTTGGGGGTTCCCATCTCTTCTGGCGCCTAGCAGACCCGGCGTCCCTTGACCAACATACACCTGCTGAGGAGCAAGTCTAGGTGTCCCAGGTTGCACTCCAGGCATCCCTGTAGGTCAAGGAGCTATTCCACTTGGCCCTCCCTGGTCCCGTATCTGATGCTTCCCTTCCCTTTCTTGGTCTTGGACTCTCTCTCTCTCTCTCTCTCTCTCTCTCTCTCTCTCATCATACACAGAAGGAGATGACAGACAGCATTTTTTTTTTGGAGCTACACAACACACCCAACTTTCTTTTTATTATTTTTTCACACAAGGGAGACAGCCCCATGTGAACCATTCACACGGTTTCTCAACATTCAATTCCCCAAAAACAAAAACAACAATATATATATATATAATATATATATTCAAATAATGCATCATAAACCCAAACCATGTGCACCCACATTCTTTCACACTTTTGCACCCACGCTCTTTCCACTTTCTTTTATTTAAATATATATATAATATATTTCCACTACTCCTACTTTTATTTTATTTTATTTTATTTTATTTTTTTATCTTTCTTTTTCAATCCATTTTCCTTATTCTACAACTCGTGAGCATCACCTATCTTCCACCAAAAAAAAAAAAAAAACAAAAAAAAAACAAAAAAAAAAAAAACAAAATTTGCCACATACACTCATTTTATTCATCTCAGGGGATCCCCCCGATCACAATTACAAAAAAAAAAAAAAAAAAAAAAACAAACAACAAACAAAAAAAAAAAAAAATCAAACAAAACCCACACAAACACCACCACACGGCGGGATTTTCTTTTCTACTCCTGCCGCTGGTCTCTTCTTCTTGCTCCGTCCTGGGCGGCCCTTGACGGTGTTGCCTCCGTGTTTCCCACACCACCAAGCACATTCACTCCTCCCTCTGCTCCTCCCCTGCAGCATATGGCGGACCTCCAAATCGGAACATCACGGTGGCCTTCCGCTTCAGATCCTTGTTTTCCCGCTTTTAGCACACTTATCTCTGCTCGCGCATCCTTATACATGCGTTGGAGCAGAGCCAGTTGGGCGTTTAACTGCTGCACCTCATTTGTCCTACTCTGCAGCCGGTGCGACAGGTTTGTGCGCCGTCATAGTCTCCACACATGACTTCAGAGTATACTGATTGGCCTCAATATCAGTTGGCACCGCCATTTTTTGCTCCACAGACCGCATCGGAAAGTTCAACGGAGCAAAACCGGAAGTGTTTAGTTGAGGTTTAACTGGCCACCGCACCCGTTATCCTCTTGTTGACTCGTTGAGGTCGGGAAAGAGAGTCAGCAGACACGGACGACGAAGCCATTTTCTGGGCACTGAGTGTTACAGAGTCTCTCTCTCAGAAACGGAAGAGTTTTTCAGAGGATTTCGCAGGTTTTTTGCCCTCTGCGTCGCCTCAGGCTCCGTCTTGGTTAAATAAGCGAGGCAGCTACGCGCATCGCGCGCCTCTTGACGCCAGACAAACTGGGCACGCCTTTTGATGCACGCCTTTTTGATGAATTGGGCACGCCTTTTGATGGACGCCTTTTGAAGATTGGGCACACTTTTGAGGACACGACTTTTGAGGGCTCGATATCTACATCCATGTATATCTTTTGGGCAGCCTATATACATACTCATACAGTGTCTTCTACACCGGTCAGCTTTATCATTCCTCTTTGTTTCAACCTCAAATAGGTTTCTATCTTCACACCTATTTGAGTTTGAGGGGGGGTTAACCACAGTATCATGTATAAGTCGCTCATGGCGGCACTCCCTAAGTCGCCTCCTTGGTGCACCACCACAATATTCTACAACGGTCCGACATGACCCGTAAACTGTCTTTCTACTGGTCTGACACGACCACACAGTGTCTTCTACAACGGTCCGACATGACCCATAAACTGTCCCGACATTGATTCCGGTCAGCTGCTACATCGGTCCGACATGACCCCATAAACTGTCCCGACATTGATTCCGGTCAGCTGTACAATTCGGTCCGACATGACCCCGTAAACTGTCTTCTACAACGGTCCGACATGACCCCGTAAACTGTCTGCTACAACGGTCCGACACGACCATACCGTGTCTTCTACAACGGTCTGACACGACCATACAATGTCTCCTATCCCATTTTTTAATTGTCAGCTTATTTTTCTGTTTTGTTACTCTCTCCAAACTCAAGTTGGCTAGTACCTATCCTCCTTGAGTTTGAGGGGGTTGTTAATGTAAAATGTAAATTGTAAAATGTAAACATACCACCCACTCCACCTACCACCTCCACTTCACCCCCTACCACCTACACCTACTACCACCCACTCTTCTATATATAGGAATTGTAAACATTGTAAATATACAACAATACAATCAATAATAATACATCAGTATTTTACAAGAATGGTGATCAAACTGGCTTGGGTTTGTTGAGTTGGAGTATATTAAGCTGGTTTGGTCACCAGTGTCTTATTAAAATGGCTCGGTATTGTGATTCAACCGTTGTTCCTAATTGTTGCAGCTACTATTTCCATTACAAGAGGATTGAGGATGAAGTGCTGCCACATTCTGTAATGGAAATTGTCCTATTGATTGTAATCTAGGTCTCATAAGTTTGAACTCTGTTTCATAATTATTAGTATTTTATTTATTTATTTTTTTTCTGGGTTTGTAGTGTTGTGTTAATATTGTGACAACTCTTCAAAGTGGTTGAATGACAATTTTGTGTGTTAATTTCTTCTCCAAGGTTTTCCTCCAAACTAATTTTGAATTAGGAGTAAGAGGCAAATTAGCAAAGATGGGATAAGATAGAGGATAGTAACAAACCAAACTTATGAAACTGTAATTTATCTGCTAGCCAAAAAAAAAGAAATTTTGTGTGTTTTGGCAATAAAGATCAAATTTTTGGGAAAGGTGGTAAAGAGAGAGACTATAAAGATCAAATTTTGTTTGTTAGGGAAATAGGGTTTTGGCAATACTATTTTGTTTGGTTGACAGGAAAGTGGAAAGTGTGTCATCTGTTGAGAGTGCACCTGCATCACTTATATATACCACCCACTGTCCCCATTTTTGGCCTCTCCTGAAAACCCTCCTCAACAACACTTGCAAGAATCATCAAAATCCATCTGAGATCAACAAAACCCACTTCAAAACCAGAGAGGGAGAGGGAGAGGGAGAGAGATGGATGAAGATGGTATTGGGTTGGTCTTGGCTCGAGCTTCCGAGCTTCGCTCCAAGATCATCAATTGCATCCACAGGGCTTCAACGGCTCTGCAAGAACAAGAAGAGAAAGAAGATAAAGATAATGGGTCTCGGGACAAGGTCGGTGAAGCAGAGGAAGAAGAAGAAGTTGAAGAAGAAGCAGCAGAGAGCCTTTTGAACATTCGAGATGCTCTCGAATCGCTCGAAGCCCTGCTCTCTTCTTTACAGGTCTGCTCTCTGGTTCTAAAAAATTAAATCCAGGGTTCGATTCCAAACCCTAATAAAACCCTGATTGAAGTTGCTGTTCTGTTCAATTTTGCGTGCAATATGATTTTAATTGATGTATGTTTATGCTTCATTTGCCTCTATGTTTACACCATTTTGATTTGTGTGTTTTGGATTGAAATTTTTGCATATCTTTTAGATTCACCCTTTGTTCAACGCTTTGTCGTACTTCCATTTCACATAGTGTTCCATGCTTCTAATATTTTACTCTCAAACCTTGCCAAATTGAAGTTTTTCTCTATAAGAAGGGAAATTCGGTTGTGTACCATAAACCCTAGATACGGGGGTTGTAGTTTTGGTTATGACCTATTGTGGTATTAGCTATGACTTAGGTTATATACATTGTGATGTTTGTTACGACTTATTGTGATATTGGTTATGATTCAAAAGTTTTGGTTATACCATTCTTTTTTTAGTTATGACCCTAAAATCAACCCCACAAATGTCGTAACTTACACATCCTTTTGAGGGTGTGTATCATAGCATGACCCCAAGAATAATCAACCTCTAATTGTTCAACTATAATTATGTACCAATGACAAGAAAGACCATGCAACTTCTTGAAGAGCCCAACTAATTTGTTCAGAACTCATGGCAACAGTTAAGGTAAGTGTGTTGCGGGGGAAAACTTTCTTCGCTTTCTTCAGTTTTAGCAATGATAGTTAATACCCGGTTGCATCCACCTTTAACTACTAAATTAATATATCTAGTTAAAATTCCCTTTCTTTCCTTAGACCTGCAACATTGTCTATTTATGGCTTTTGTCATTTTCTTTGAGGTCTATTTAGTTTAGGTGCGGAGTTTCTCTTCTTCTCTTAAAACCTTTCCATCAATTGCATTCTTATTTTTCTTATCATGAAACTAAATCTGTTCCTGGATAAAGTTGTTAAATGCCTTCGCACCAATGCATCACAAGATTGTATTGTTGTGCTAAGTTTTGGACATGGCCAGCTCTTGTAATTTTTTAATATACTGATAGGATCACTTCCTGCTGCTATTTGCAGTAAGATCATGGTGCCATACTAATACCATATTTTCTAAATGTTTTATGATAATTGCTATTATTCCCTCACTGTGTCTTTTGAAGTCCAGAAGACATATCTAGTTCATATTATCCCTCCTTTTTTTTTTGGGTGCTATTGGTGGGTTTACTCTTTGCGCCTGAGTCATTTCAATTTTATCTTGACGTAGGAAACCCAAATTTAGAATCTATGTAAAACTTCTCCCCATCCCTCTTTACCTTCTATAATGAGGATGTTCATGTATGTCATTTTCCAAGGCAAAGGCTCTATGCTGAGCAATTACATTACAAAGATATTAAATTGGTAGCAAGGTTTTGAAAGCGGCTGTTACCATTTTTTAATGGATATGGATCAACTTCACCACTCGTTATGGCTGCAATATCTGTGGGAATAAAAATCACTGGTGTAATGGCTGTACCGGTGGCACAGTTGATTCCTAGCTGTATAAAAGTTCAATTTTTTGTTTTTAATATATTGTTTTCCCTTTCAATTTCTCGATCTCATAGAAAACACATGTTGACCTCTGAAAAACCTAGACACACGAGATCTGAATCACCAATCTTCAAATTTACAAGTCGGTTGATCTTCAACCCAAAGTTTGCAAACAAGTTTAGATAATTGCATATGATTCTTTGAAGAATTGTTATTATTAAATTAGATTTGTGATTATTAACGTAGATACTCTTTTTTTTAGGTAGGATTTGTGATTATTTACTTAAATCTTCTTATTCCTGCAAGTTTGAAACACAATATAACATTATAAAGTCTGTAAACTAGTGCATTATGAATTTATGACATGCAGATGAAATTATTGGTTGGAAAAAAATGTGTAGAAAATTGACTTGGAATTTAAGGAGTGAAATTGTGATAACTAATTTGTAGTGGTAATAAATGTTAATTTTGAACAACCTTGTCCTTGCAACTCCTAGGATTAGGGGTGTTCACGGGTTGGTCCGGGTCGGGTTTAGTCCCAATTCGTCAATCTACCGAACATAGTTGAGTTTGCAATTAGTGAAATTGCTTTCGAACCATATGACTTTCGAAATCGACCGAGCATCTATTCGGTTTGTTGGATCGGTTGCGGTCGAGTCAAGCGGGTTTGACAAATAGAATGTTGGACCTATTTTAATATAAAGCAACTGTTAAAAAAGTTGAAAATCCAAAATCAAATCATAAACAAATAAAATAAAAAAATTTAAAATCCTAAATAAAATATGAAAACATGAAATAGGTACAAATCCTAAATCAACCATCATCAATTCAAAAGATTTTAAACCAATGAATTAAAATATGAAACTACTAACAAACAAAAAGGTAAAAAAATCAGGGTCAAAAGTAAAAATTATAAGAAAGATACCTCAAATATCTGGAAGATTAAAACCCTCTTCTAGGATTGAAGATCGACCTTGTCGCATTTATGCTTCAAACTCGCTAGCAGATTGAAGAAAGAAATCAAGGGAGAACTAACGAGATGGCGATAGAGAGATGATTGAGGAGGGAGAGAGCGAGAGAGAGATACAGCAGAGAGAGGCAGGCAAAGAGTCTTGTATACTACTCTGCTGTTTGGTTTTTCGAAAATATAAAAGAGTGTGCAAGTATTGTAAGTACCAAGACCAAGTGTTTGGAAATATGGGAGAGCAGATTTCTTTTTTTATTTTATTTTAATAATGCTATATGTATTAATTTATATATCAATTAGTGTACTAATAGATGATGTGGTATAATTTTGGAGGTTTTGGATATTTGTAATTTGTATAATGGGTGAGGTCAGTAATAATATTATAACATATATTGGTACACAAATTAATATACCAATTGATGCATATAATACCACCGGTTTTTTTTTTTAAGTATTGTGAGTACCAACTATTTAAAAATACGAGAGACAAAGAGAAAAAGAGAGGGAGAGAGAGTGTACTCTGAGAAGTCATATCATCACATGATATAGGCAGAGTCATCATTCAAAGATTGCAATCTCAAATGTTTGAAATTAAATACATAGTTGACAGGTGGATGGCTCAAGCAAGTTAATATGTAAGGCATTATCGGTCGGGTCGGTTCCAACGGATAATAATATACCGTGCACTCAATAATTTTTCTAAATTAGAACCGCTGCCGATCTAGAAGCGTTTCGAAACAGTCCGTGATGATGTGGGCAGAGTCGGACTGGTCGGTTCCATTGGGTACGCGGTTTGTATGAACAGCCCTACCTAGGATGGCCTTCCTGCACATATTGTTCAAAGCAGGTTCTTCCTTTTATTCCTTCTTTTAGGAATCGCTCAGCAGTGATGTTTAAGTAAATTGCATATTCGATTCATGGCAAGGAATTACATCGTGGAAGGTCCATTGTTCTTTAGAAGTCGGCTTTGAATAAGGCTCAAGATGCTCCTGTGCTGCATAAAGCTAATAGGGGAACTCCTTTTAAGAGGAAAAGTGTCAATGATGAATATTTTCCTTTTCTTTCCATAATTTGAGGATCAATAGGTTAATGAAGTAAAATATGTAATTTGTATTGGGACGATCTACCATTGTCATGAATACATGAATCACTACTGTTTGCATCCTGTTTGTTGTGACTAAACCTGTTGTGTTGAAATTATCATTTATTAAAGTTGATGTGAAATTGGAGTTGGAATAAGATAGTGTTCCTTTATGCTTTGTTTGGTTCTAAAATTTGTTGAGGGATAGGAAAATGAAAGGGAAAAAACAGGAAAACGGAAAGCAAGGGAGAGAAACTAAGGTTGTGCTTGGTAGAGTTTTAGAATTATGATTTGAGAATAGAGCTGTATTTTGAGTTTGTGAGTTTTGGAATTATGATTTGAGTGTGGAAAATTTGTTTGGTTATGAGTTTTGAATTGAGTGATGTGACATATGATATTTGATTTAAAAATTTAGAACTCATAACCAAACACACAATCCAAAATTCTATTCAAAACTCATAAAAAATTTAAAAAAAATTCCCAAAATATTTTTTATTTAAAATATAAAAATAACAAGTGCCAAAAAAAAAAAAAAAAACCCGAACACTGTTCCGGTCAACCGGTTAGACGTTCGGAAGGATGAACGGGTAGACGTGTTTTGAAAAGTAGGTGTAGAATCAATTTTTGAAAACTGTAAACAAACACCATGCTGAAACTAAAGGGTGGAATCACACTTTGAAAGTCTAATCAAACACTGCCTAAATTCCTTACTTTTGTTTTGTGTGGCTGAAAAAATTGTTAAGAAAATGAATGAGCATTCTTCAAAATTTCTTTTTTGTTCTTTTGGTTTGGTTACCTGTCTTTCCTTTTCTTTTCACTCAAGAATCCTAAATCCAAACACGACATTATAAGAATTCTCATTTTCTTGCTTCACAAACTGTTGTATGCATCTTCACAGTTCACTTTTGATTTTCAGGCTCTCCAACAACAGCAATGGTATGAGAGGGAAGCAGCCTTGGCTGAGATTGACTGTAGCCGCAAGAAGCTGCTTAAAAAGCTGAAAGAGTACAAAGGTGAAGACTTGGAAGTCATACACGAAACTACTGCTTTCGCTAGTGAAACTGTTGAGGACAACAACGATCTCCTCCTTCCCCCATATCCCAGTCGGCCTTCCCACTCCCTTGCATCAGACAATGGCTATCTTTCCCACTTCCCTTCCACACGTAAGCTTCCTCAAAACGGGCTCATTAATAGTGACACTACAATTGAAACAAAGAATAGTCTCCATGAATCAGAGAGAAAACAAACACAATCTGGTTCTCAAAACCCACTTAAAGGGTTGAGACTCTTCGTCAACACGGCAGCCAAGACAATGCTTACTCTTGTTGGCGTGATATCTATTCTAGGATTGGCTGGCTTTGAACCTAGGCTTAGGAAAAGAGACAATACAGAATTCAAGATTTTTGGGGTCTTCCGACAGCGAGGAACTGAAGCGGAGAGAAAAATAAAAAGGGGCCAATGCCCACCCGGTAAGGTCTTGGTGATGGAAGATGGCGAAGCTCGTTGCCTTGTGAAAGAGAGAGTTGAAATTCCATTTGAGTCGGTTGTTGCAACACCAGATGTAAATTACGGGTGTGGATGAAAAGGTATTTATTGCCCCTCTCTTGTATATTTTGCCAAATCTTTTTTTGACATCGTGTTCACAGAATTTCTTTGGAATGGCTTATGGTTGTGATGATGTATTTGGGTTTCATTATCTAATTCAAATGGCTTTTCCTTACTTTATTTCCAATTATTTAGGATAAAATTTGGAATTTTTTGCTATTTCTTCAAATTCAGAGATTGCAGCAACTTTTAATAAATATAAAAAAAGAGATTGCAGCAACTTTAATGATCAAAATGAAATTGTCTGCCAGAAGACAAAAATGTGGATTTGTGTGGGTTGGTCTTGAGTTTACAGATTTGTTTTTTTTTTTTTTTTTTTTTTTTTTGAGATTTGAAGATTTTTTTAATTTGTCCCACAAGACTCCTGCCATTGCAAGGCCTTACTCCCAAATGCCCAAATGCGGAAAGATTTTTTTTTCCCGTGATTTGAACCTATAGGCTATAACACCCAAATCACAGTGGAGTAATTTTTTTGCTGCACTAAAGCCATCCTCTGTTTATTGGAAATGTTATGCGGTTGATTTTGTTGGCTGCGGTATTTTAATTCCAGTCAGTGTACTAGTTTAGTATTTTAGTTATTAATATATTTTAATTAATTATACACATTATTATAAAAATAAATTATAAATTAGTTTGGTATTTGACTTAAATTTAAGTTTTATTGAGTTAAAAATATTTGATTAAGTTTCAATTAGGAAAAATTTTAGAAAAGAAAGAATATTAATAGAGAGAGAGTAGATAACAGTGTGAAGAAACAAAATATAATTTGGTAATTAATGTTTGTCATTAATAGTGTTAACAATATACTTTAGTCTAAAATTATTAGTGAGACTCTGTCTATTACTGGAATACAAGAGAAAAAGTGTAAATAACTTAAACTAGGTCTATCAATGGATCAGGTTTCACCCCAAACTGACCCAAATAATCTGATACATTTATTTAAATCCAAATCCGATTACTTGATTAAATCCAAATCCACATAATCCAATTTTAATCCAGTCTGGTCCAATTAAGTATCAGAATCTGATTCTCTGAATGGATTTTTCTGTGAAAATTGGTAGCACAGTTTGTGGTCCTGCTGCTGCTTTATCTGATAGGTCTTGAAAGAAATCTACAACTCAAAAATCTATTCTGAACAATAACAATGAACAATGAAATCTATATATTTCATTTATAATAAATCTGAAACTCAAAACACCTAATCTGAAGTGAAAACATTGAAATATACTGTACATTCATATTTCATTTGTACATACTTCAAGGATTGTCTGGGGATGGTGGTGATGGTGAGTTGAATGAGAGAGTTTGCAACTTGTCCAGTTTCCTTATTTATTTATTTACTTTTTTTGTGGCCGTAGACTCATTGAAATATGAATTGATACAACAATGCGCCCTTTAGGTCACCACTACCCTTTTGGTTGTCCCACTCAACTTTGCTGATCACACTACTCAATTCTCCGGTCACCATATGCTGCCACCGGAGAATTCATCCCAACCATGTCAAAGCCGGCGGTCCAGCCGGAAATTCCGACAACAGTTTTTATCAGAAAACGGCAGTGTCTTTGTTGTTGCAAGTACCTTGACTGAATTATTGAGAGCTGTACTAGCCTTGATGGCTAAAGCACACAAGTCTTGCAAAGAAAGTGGTGTCTGCTGGGACTTGGATGGCAATGGCATGAGGAAGTAAGTTTGACCAGGCTGGAGTTCTTCATCGTAGGGCACGTGAAGAGCACGTGAGCCTACATACATGGTCTCTGAGCTGCAGAGGAAGGAATTTGGATTCTGGAAGAGGATGTGGTATGCCTTGATTGGTTGTTTGAATTCTTGTAGATGGGCATCCATGTCAATTATCATGGCTGTGGGTGGATATTTGGTGGTGCCACATCTCCTTGTGAATTGAGAAGTGCAGACACCCATGAGAGAGAGAGAGAGAGAGAGAGAGAGAATGAATGTTGATTGTGGTCTGGTAGTATTGTGGTTTGGTAGTGTTGGGGTTGTGATTTATAGGGAGAGAAAAGTGGTATATAAGAATGATGTGCAATAAATAAAAAAAATTATACATTAAACTTGATTTGAATAATGTGGTAGTGATTTTGTGAAAAAGAAATGTTCTTCATTTTTGGATTTATCTTTGATAGAGAGAAAAGCATTGGCACATGAGATTGATTTGCAATAAAAAATAAATAAAAATCATACATTAAATTTGATTGGAATAATGTAATAGTGATTTTTTTGAGAGCAAGGATCCTCTAGAGTTTTTTTTTCCTAAAGTTTCCTAAAGTAGTGTATTGTGTGGTTGAGATTTAATGACAAGTCACATCAATTTTTCAGCATTAAATTTCAACCACACAATACATCACTTTAGGAAACTTTAAAAAAAAAATACTCTAGAGGATCCTTGGTGTTTTTTTGAAAGAGAAATGTTCTTTATTTTTGGGTTTATTTTTTGAGAGGGAGAGAATGTCGACTGGGTTTTGGTAGTGTTGTGGTTGTGGTCTAGAGGGAGAGAGAAGTATTGGCATACATAAATAAAAATATTTGTTTGTATTAAGACTTATTATTTTAAAATTAATTATCTATGTAAATGATATTTAATTAAAACTATGAGCTTCCGTATACAGGGTTTTGATCTTTGTGAATATTGAGATGAAAATTAATTACCACGCACAATCATACTTCATCCACAAAAGATTGACCTTGTCCGCTGTCTCTCTCTTTCTCTATGCATTGGGGTTGTTTTGGGGTTATTTGGTGCAATTTATATAAGTTACTTATAGCTTTTTATTTTATTTGATTATTTATTTTGAGGGTTTGTGCTAAACTATTTGATATAGTTTTTGTTTATAATTTATTAAATAGGAATAAATTAAATAAACTAAAAGAAAATTATTATTTAAAAGATAGGAGAGAAGTGTTTTTGGCTCTAATTTTTGATTATCAACTTTTAACTTATAATAAGTTTTAGTAACAGACCCACTGTCATGCTCTTAAAAATGTACCTTGTTAACAATGAGTTTCACCATGTGAAGATATTTATTTGAACATTTCTCTCTTAGCAAGTCGGTTTTTAATGATTAATTTTATTTAAGAGTTTGTATCATTTGATATTAGAGTTATCACATTGATTACACAATTGGATACGGACAACTTGTAATATTATACAAATCTCACATATTATTTCAATTTGCTTGGTTCTCATTTTTTAAAAACAGTTCTTAGAAAATTCTACACTCTTATTTTTCGTGTCTTTTTATTTTTACTGAATTTTTTTAATATTTTATGCAAATTTTTTACTTTTAGACACACCTAACATAAATACACCTAAAAAGTAAAAAAATTGTAAAAAAAATCTTTTAAAAATTCACTAAATACCAAAAATACAAAAAAAAAAAACAAGAATTTAGTACATTTTTTGTATTTTTATGTATTTCTTAATTTTTTAAAATATTTTTTCACAATTTTTTTACTTTTTAGACACATCTAAGTAAGGTGCATCTAAAAAAGTAAAAAAAATGTTTAAAATTTTAAAAATATTCACTAAAAACAAAAAAATACGAAAATCAAAAAACTCAGTTTTCAAAAAATTTAATTCAGAAAACTCAAACCAAACACAGTTAATATTCAGAGATGTTACTGTTGAATTGCTCTTATCATATTATTTTGGGATTTTTATTGATAAGTCCAATTTAGAAGTGTTTTAACCCAAGAAATCCATGAAGAAATTTTTTAACCCATTTAGTCCCATGTATGTATAGTTTTATTCCATAAAGTCCATTTTCTTGATTTACACTATTTTCTTGGACACTTATGCCCTTATATTTAATTTTGATATCCTTAGAAATATTTTTTCAACGATAGCAATTTAATGATGTGAACATTCATATTTTAAAATTCACATTTGTAGGAATGTAAATTGGCCCGTGGGCGACCCGAAACCCGCCGGCGAGCCAGGGGGGCCCGGCCCGTTGACAATGTGAATATTCACATTGACATGTTAATAGGAGTGTAAAATTGGCCCCCGTCCCGTGACGGCGCGAAACCCGCCCGCGGCCCATGGGCAACCCGGGGCGGGCCCGGTCCAGCCCGTTGATAATGTGAATATTCACATTGACATATTAACATTCACATTGATAAGAGTATAAAATTGGGCTTGGCCCAACTCGTAACAATGTGAATATTCACATTGACATGTTAACATGCACATTGATAGGAGTGTAAAATTAGCCCGCGCCCCGCGGCTGCCGGCGGGCGGCCTGGGGCGGGCCCGACCCGGCTTGTTGACAATGTGAATATTCACATTAATATGTTAACATTTACATTGATAAGAGTGTACAATTGGCCCGTGACCCGTGGACAGCCCGAAGCCCGACCTCGGGCCAGGGCAGGCCCAGCCCGTTGGCAATGTAAATATTCACATTGATAGGAGTGTAAAATTGGCCCGCAACCCGTGGCGGCCTGAAGCCCGATCGCAGCCCGAGGCGGGCTTGGCCCGACCTGTGACAATGTGAATATTCACATTGACATGTTAACATTAACATTGATAGGAGTGTAAAACTTGTCCGCTGCCCGAAGCTCGCTGGCCGCCCGGGGTAGGCCCGGACCCAAACCCGGGCCACCTCGGGCCGCCTACGGGCTTCGGGCCGTCCATGGGACGCGAGTTAATTTTACACTCTTATCAATGTGAATGTTAACATGTCAATGTGAATATTCACATTGTCAACAGGCCGGGTCGGGCCTGTCTCGGGCAGCCCACGGGCGGTGGGCGTGTTTCGGGCAGCCATGGGACACGGGCTAATGTTTACACTCTTATCAATGTGAATGTTAACATGTTAATGTGAATATTCACGTTGTCAACGGGCGGCCCGCGTCGGCCGGCCGGGCTTCGGGCTGCCCATGGGACGCGAGTCAATTTTACACTCTTATCAATGTTAATGTTAATATGTTAATGTGAATATTCACATTGTCAACGGCCGGACCGGGCCCGCTCCGGGCTCGCCCTGGGCAGCGGGCGGGCTTCGGGTCGCCACAGGCCACGGGCCAATTTTACACTCCTATCATTGTGAATGTTAATATGTCAATGTGAATATTCACATTGTCAACAGGCCGGATCGGGCTCGCCCCGGGTCGTCCATGGGACGCAAGTCAATTTTACACTCTTATCAATGTGAATGCTAATATGTCAATGTGAATATTCACATTGTCAACAGGCCGGGTCGGGCCCTCCCCGAACTGGCCACAAGCCGTGGGCTAGTTTCGGGCAGCCACGGGGCGCGGGCTAATTTTATACTCTTATTAATGTGAATGTTAACATGTCAATGTGAATATTTGCATTATCAACGGGTCGGGCCGGGCCTGCCCAGGGCAGCCCACGAGCCGCAGGCGGGTTTCGGGCCGGCCACAGGCCGCGGGCTAATTTTACACTCCTATCAATGTGAATGTTAACATGTCAATGTGAATATTCACATTGTCAACGGGCCGGGCCCGGGTTTCGGGCTGCCCACGGGTCATGGGCCAATTTTACACTCTTGTCAATGTTAATGTTAATGTTAATATGTCAATGCGAATATTCATATTGTGAACGAGCCGGCCCGGGTCCGCCTCGGGCGACGGGCTGGTTTCGGGCGGTCCACGGGCCGCATGCTAATTTTACACTCCTATCAATGTGATTGTTAACTTGTCAATGTGAATATTCATATTATCAACGGGCCGGGTCGGGCCTATTTTTTTGGCTTATGGGTCGGTCCGGCCTGACTCGAATTTTTCCGGGCACCCACGAGGATCGACATGAGCCGGGCCCCTACACATTGACGATATAAATATTTATATTGACGGTGTGAACATTCACATTAAGGGTATTTTGGTAATTATGTTACCCATAGGACTTATTGAAACATAAGAAAATAATGTGAATTAAATATAATATAAGTAGATGAAAAGGGTATTTTGGTCTTCTTATCTCAAATTGGACCTAATGGAATAGTCAAAAAGAATATGGGTTGGATGGAATAAAGCTCTTAGAAAATAGATTTATCAAAAAAGCTCCCTATTATTTTAATACGTTCCGTTTCAAATGCTAAACTTTTATTATTGCATGACACATTTACAAATAAGTTTATGAGATTTTTATATTTGTACAAAATTTTGTTACATAAAAATCCATACTTTATTGGTAGAAGAATGACCTGTAGAATTACAATCTATAGCTTGACAAATTGACTTTGACTGGCCAGTATGAAAACTTGATGGGTTCACTAGAAAATGGAATCAAGTAGAGAGAAGAATTTGATTAAAAAAAAAAAAAAACAAAAGAACATGAACATCACAATACTGCACTATGGGGGAGAAATTTTTTGAATCTAATTTTTTTTTTATTTTTTGGTATCTAATGCACTTTCAATTGTACGAAATAAGAATATTGAAACGAGAATCTTGAGACACAATTATATGGTTGGATTTATATAAAATATAGAAGGACATGAGTTTTGAATACCTAAGATCCTGTGTAATTATAGAAAAAAAGGTGATAAATTAATTTTTATGAGTATATATGGCATGTAATTCAATGATTCATTTGTTTTGGTTTTAAAGACATGGTAAATGAAATACATTAGTGAGAAGTACAAATTATTATGGGATTTTTATTAATAAATCCATTTTAGAGATGTTATAACCCATTAAGTCCACAAAGGAATATTATAACCTGATTAGTCCCATATACTTTTCTTTTTATTCCATAAAGTCCATTTTTCTAATTTTATATTTTTACATGGTAAAACAGTTACAAATAGGATTTATCAAAAAAGAGCCCAATTATTATTTTAAAAGATAATTTTTTTAGATAAGTGGATATATATATTGATAATTAAGAGTTGGCTAAATTCATTTATGCACACCTTAATTAATATTAGGATTTTGAAGTTAACAATTGAACAAATCTCCGGTAGCTCCAAAGTTTAGGAGTCCTTTGATTGCCTTTCCTCTTACTAAGTCGAATCCATTAGAGTTACACGTGGACACTACAGATAGATAAAAGCAATACTATCTTTTAAATTGTTATTGTTTTTATGA